ATCAACGATGGGTGGCTCCCGGCTGATGACCCTGCAGCTAGCCTAAATGGCACCGGCGGAGGTGCGTCAGGCAGAAATGCCTTGCAGGTAGTTCTGACTGTGCTTACATCTAATCTACTCTCAGTTAGACTACTGCAACCTTTTTTGTACAGTGGTCTACCTCAGTCAACACTCAGTTGCAGTTGGTCCAGAATGCAGCCACCAGATTAAAAACAGGAACTAAGAAAAGAGATCATATCTCCCCTGTCCTTGCCTCATTGCACTGGCTTCCTATAAAATTTAAAGTTGATTTTAAAATCCTTCTTTTCACTTATAAAGCATTACCCAATTCTACCCTGTGAACGTATTAGGCCATATACAGCTTGTAGACCGTTAAGATCCTATGACCAGTTTCTTTTGTCTGTCCCTCGGTCTCCCTGCAAATCAAAAGGTGATTCGAGCTTTCTGTGTTGCAAACCCAAGACTCTGGAACAATCTCCCTCTGAACATCAGAATTTCTCCTTCATTGGATGCTTTTAAATCTAATTTAAAGACTTATTTTTACTCCCTTGCCTTTGAGAGACATGTTATTTCTAATCGGTATTAAATTCATACGTATATTCACTTTTCTTATATTTTTAAATACCATTCTTTATTATTTTATTTTATTGTAAAGCACTTTGGATGAACTACGGTTGTGTAAAATTGTGCTCTATAAATAAAGTTTGCCTTGCCATATGCTTATTTTACTAACCATTTTTCTAAAGATTTGAGTATAGCCACCACTGGAGCACTTTTTACCTGTGACCAGTTGTCCCTACTACCTCAAGAAATCTCCACTATTATGCTGCGTTAACACCAGACGCGGAACGAGCGTCAAGCGCAAGTGATTTACATGTTAAGTCAATGCAAACGCGCGAATAGACATCCTGCGGCGCGATAGCGCGAATGACGAGAATTGCGCAAATGGCGATGTGCGCATGGCGCGATACGCGCGAATGCCATGGTGCGAATTGAGCGTTTTGCGCGTTTTTCGCTCGAATCACTCGAGTTAGAAAATCTGAACTTCAGCAGACATTTTCGCCGCGTTAACCAAACAGGAGCTTGCTTTTGTGGGGGCGTGATTGTGACGTATCGCCTGTTGTCGGTGTCCCAGGAGAAATCCCAGAGCAGACACCGACAAGAAGTTCATCAAACTGGGCTGGGCTCAGTCAGAAGCACCGCTGAAAACCTCCATCAGCCAGGTTCAGTTTCTGGAAGAGTCTATGAGCTTAAAGTGCTGGATGCACCTCTGAAAGGATGTAGTGGACTCAGACACGGCCCTAAACGTATCGACGCTGTTTATCATCCTTCTTATAGACAGAAGCCCTGCCCATCACGTGAATCCGCGTCTGTTCTGAAGTGAATTTGACACGCGAATGAAGCAGGGTTTGACACACGAATGAAGCGGGTTGACGCGCGAATGAAGCGAGTAACCTCAAATGTTCACGCGGCTATTTACGCGCAAATAGCACAATTTATCCGCTCGTTCCGCGCCTGGTGTGAACAGCATTAAAGAGTTCTCTAGTCCCAGACACTGGCATTGGGTAGGGGGTGGAAACTAAGCAGCACTCATAAGTTCATACAAAGAAGTCTTAAATCCTTACGTCCATTCAGCAACGGTGATGTATGATGACACCACTGGATTGGAGAACCTCATGCAAAGAGCATCCACATATCCCAACAACTAGCCATTTACAATATTACAGAAACCGGTCACCAGCTCACCTCTAATGCTGCATGTCCTCTAATACCAGAACCTATACAAGTGGATAGTACCAGAATCCTATGAATGGAGCATTTACAACAACTGGTTGCCAGACAGTGTTATACTGTGATATCCCATGTCATATCAAAAATGACTATCCCACTATGCCCCCACGTCCAGTATGGAGTACTATTCAACTAACATCTAAATTAATAAACTTATCTTACATTCCAGTAATGCTTTTTATAATCCTGTGTCTGACATTGTTGATTCAGGCTCCTCGATCAACGTTAAACACCAAGTGATCATACGCAGATTCCTACTCATACAAAAACATTATCAAAAAGTAGAAAATGTTTAGGAAAAAACAACTGAGCATGGCCTAGTAAAATACTCCTCTCCTGTTCTCCAAATGCAAGTCAGAGTTCCACATATCAAGGACATTACATTTCAGGTACTGGAGGGATCTACTGCTGACATCATTCTAAAATGGACCTGACTGGCTAAACACTCTTCTGAATTCAAAGGGGACCCCTTTGAAGTCACATGCTGGTGAGAGTTGTCAACAGAACTGACTTCTGCTTCTACCGAGATTGAAAGCCATGGGACTGTGCCATTGAATTGCTGCCTGGAGCTAAAGTCCCTAAATGTTGAGATTATGCCCTGTCTTATGCCCTGATTATTCCAGAGTGCAAAGTTATGGAAAAGTAAGTAGAGGAGACTCTTAAACAAGGATTCATATGTCCACCGACATCACTGTCTGCTTCCAACTTTTTCTTTGCGGGCAAGAAGCATGGAGGTCGTCAACCCTGAAACAATTACTGGACACTTAACTCCCAGATCATCCAGCTGCCCTATCCACTTCCCCTGTCGCAGCAGACTTTGGGGACCCCAGAGAAACTCACGTCTCTTCCACATTAAGACCTGCAGAGTGCCTACAACCTCATTCAAATCAGAGAAAGTGACGAGTAGAAGACATCTTTCATTACCTTCAACCTTGCACTATGAATAAAAACCTATGCCGTATGCATTTAGCATTTTTCAGACTTTTATGACTCTACCTGGGATCGAAGTCTCCTGCTGCCCTGAAAGAAGTCCCCACTATATTAGTTATTTGTTTCTCAATACAGAAGCAGATCAGCATTGTCACATGCTCCACATCCACTCAGGTACAGAATTCATCCAGCATTCCACATTTCTCTATTAAAACCTTCTGGCTCAAGATGACTTCCTCTCCTCCAGAAGTGCTGAAACCACCAACAATCTACCAGGTATGGGAGATCTTGAATTCACAACACTGGAGCATCTGAGTATTTGATAAACTGGCAGGGGTATGGACCAAATAACCGATCATGGATACCCAGAGTAGTGAATTCCATCAACTGTATCCAGACTGTCTAGCCCCTGGAGGAGGGGGTAATGTCAGGCAGTCACCACGGCCATTTCGCCACCTGGATTCCAATTTACCCACTCACAAACCCCTGATTACTGATTCCCCCCACTTGTGCACTCCCGCATGAGTCCAGTTTATAGTTACTCTGCATTTACCCATTATCCAGTCTACACCTATTAACATACCTGACTTACCTGGATTACCATTTGTCTCTTCGTCTTATGGTTCCATTGTCTCTTGGTCTCAGCGTTCCCCTGGGTCATACTGTGACCCGCATAGAAATACTTTCAGATAAGCTACTTCATAATAAACATGACCTGTTCTGCACTATCGTGTACAATCCTGACAATAAACATACCTATTATGCCGAGTTCAGACTGCATGATTTTGAAAGTAGTTGTGTCACGGATGTTTTCACACTGCATGACTATCTGAGCTAGCGTTTTGTCGCTGCTTTGTTTACACTGCAAGATGGATCGCCGACAGGGGCTTTCACATTGCATGACTTTACAATAGGAAGAATCCCCGACAACTTTGTCTAAACTACGTCTCACAACCAAAAATACATAATATATCTTTTGTTATTAACTACACAAAGAGAAAGAAGCGCTTTTAACTTCTCCCCCAACCTCCCGCTTGCCAGCAGGTACACATACACACAAGTGAATGCTGCTCTCTCATTGGCTGTAGTCGATCGCTGATGTTATTTTCAGTCAAAACTCATTTCACACGGCATGATTTGAATCGCCGACATCTCCAGATATTCAGCACGCCAAATATCTCACAGGCATCGGCGACTCATCAGCGATTCTCTCAGATCGTGTCTTTGATAGTTCATACTGTGTGATTGTCACACGTACACGAGCACAGATTTGCCTGTGATTTCAGGCATTTGTCCGCGATTTCTCAAAACCTGTCGGCGGGTCAAAATCCGGGCTAAAATCATGCAGTCTGAACTAGACATTACTTGCACGTATTCTGTCTTCATTTTTCTTGTGTGTGACACACTTTTTTATGCTACATTATTCGTAACTGCACGATAACGTTGCAATATTTTTTAAACAATTCTTGTAATTGTCTGCGTCAATAGCCTAGCGGTACATAGAAGTGCTCACGGCGACCTGAGTTCGATTCCCGGCTCAAGGTTCCCGAAGCCTTTGCCAATCCTTACTCTTCTCTCATTCCTTGAAGTTACATTTTTATACTTTAGAACTGAATATTTCTTTCCTGCAATTAAAACTTTAAACTTTATGATTTGACTTTTTTAACTTTATTTTATGAGGTTGTTGGGGTTTTTGTTATCCGCAAAACTTTAGTTGGCTGTATTTAGTGCAGTTAGTTTGTTGTTGTTGTTTGTAAAACCACCATCTGCTTGTTCAAAAAAGCTAGCTTGACTATAATTATATTACATAAAATTAAGAATATCTGCAAATTTCACAAGTAACAGTTTCACAATAGTTTTTCCAACAATGTCTACAGACTGGTTTGTAGATTTCATTTGGCTCAGGTGCCTCCTACATTGTCAGTCAATGGGTGAGCAGTATTGAGTGCCAGAAAAAAAAAATTCTATCAGTGCTTTGAAAAGTAATTGCACACCTCTCCTCAACTAACCACATGATTTGAGGTATCATTCATGTCTGTAGCACAAACGGTTAGTCTAAATCCCTAACCCTTTGAATGAGCAGTATTACTGATGGCTGCCTTAAGCTGCGGTAAAGAAAAACAGATGGCCACAAAAAGAGTTAGGAAGCAAAATAGTTTCTTTTCCACATTTCTTATTTTAAATTCAAAAGATTAAATAGTAGGAAGCAGTTGTAGTAAAGGGGAGAGAAAGAGGGGAAAAAGAGCAAAAGATTGTTGGGTTGCGTCTCAGGTACATGCCTTCATTCGTTTCAGTGGATTATTCATTTCCTTTTGAAGTGAAGCTGCTCGCCCAGCGAGGAATGTCTGAAAGGCAGCTGAAAGGAGACTCTCATATTTCTCCAAGAGCAGCTTGTCATCTGGGGGGTAAATACGTCTGTATGGAGAGAAAGAGAGAGAGGAGAAAAAAGGGTTTTATCTGATTATCTGATTTAGCAGCCTGGTCTGCCTGCTTTTCTAATCACTTAAACAAACCTCGATCGTTCTTTTCACACATACGTTTGTCCATTTATGCTGTGTATATTCTAATGATTAATAAACTTGTCTTTGTATTAGACGTTAAGACTAAACAAAAGCCAAAGATGTGTAAACATCTGCCTATATCTCAGTGATGGATCTTCAGATCAGCTCCGTTTTGGGTCATGTATATAATCAAAACCAGCAACTGGCTTTGCTTCAGCCCCAGGTTGAACAAAAGGCATCAGACGGAGACCCCCTACGGCACAAAATTGTGCTTTGAATGTATTCATATTTTCAGTCACACTGAAACAAACACATTTTCAGAAGGTATTGTTCACTAATGGTGGACTTATTATTCGACACTACCTGACAAAAGTCTTGTCGCTATCCAAGTTTTAGGAACAACAAATAATACTTTGATTTCTAGTTGATCATATGAAGTGGCTTATATGAAAGGCAAATGCCTGTAGATTATGCCTGTTGTACCAAAATAAAATATGATCATGACTTTATTTTTAATTATTTAATTAGGACAGTAAGGTCTGACTTTGCTGAGACAAAAGTCTTGTCACTTAACAGAAGTAATGTGCAGTTTAGAATATAGTCACGGTTCAATGAAAAAAGAATATTGTGTATGACTCCCATGAGCTTGGAGGACTACATCCATACATCTCTGCTATAACAAATAATAAAGAAATCTGGAATGACAAAAAAGCGATCTTGCAGGACTCCCAAAGTTCATAAAGATTTATTGGGTTCATCTTCGATGCCTCCTCCTTTATCTTAACCCAGACATCCTAAATAATGTTCATGTCTGGTGAATGGGCTGGCCAATCCTGCAGCACCTTGACCTTCTTTGCTTTCAGGAGATTTAATGTGGAGGCTGAAGTATGAGAAGGAGCGCTATCCTGCTGTAGAATTTGCCCTCTTCTGTGGTTTGTAATGTAATGAGCAGCACAGATGCCTTGATGCATCAGGCTGTTGATGTTGTCATCCACTCTGCAGATCTCTTGCACGGCCCTTTTCTGAATGTAACCCTAAACCATGATTTTTCCTTCACCAAACTTGACTGATTTCTATGAGAATCCTGGGTCCATTGAGAATCTTGGGATGCAGTTCAATTCATCAAAAAAAATCTACCTTCTGCCACTTTTCTAAATGATCAACAAAAGAGTCCTGTTATTTATTTATTTTTTTGCTCTTACAACTGGGATAGACGACAAGACTTGTCAGGTAGTGTAGTAATCTTTGTTTACATAAGCAAAAACATACAACTGATCAAAGTTTTGATCCATTTAATAATTTTAACACTCACTCACTTTCTTTCAGTGTATTCCCTTCTTTATCAGTGGTCACCAAGTTAAGAGATGCAACTTTTGATTTTGTTAACGTACAATTAAAAGCTGAAATGCACTTGAAGATAATCACATTCTTTAAAATTATTTTTGTAATTATCTAATGTTAACGAATAACCCTCTAAGTATTACTATAATACTATGTATCAGATTTACAATGGCAAAAATTAAACCGAATAGAAAATAAATAAATAAATACAGTTAAAGTCAGAATTATTAACCCCCCTTTGAATTTTTTTTCTTTTTTTAAATATTTCCCAAATGATGTTTAACTGAGCAAGGAAATTTTCACAGTATGTTTGATAATATTTTTTCTTCTGGAGAAAGTCTTATTGTTTTATTTCAGGTAGAATAAAAGCAGTTTTGAATAAAAAAAATACATCACAAATTATAAGCCCCTTTAAACTATATATTTTTTTCGATAGTCTACAGAACAAACCATCGTTATACAATAACTTGCCTAACTATTCTAACCTGCCTAGTTAGAATTAAATTATTATCACTTGTATGTTTAGAAATGTTAAACAGAAATTGGGGAAAAAAATAAACGGGGGGCTAATAATTCTGACTTCAACTGTATACATACAGACATACATACATACTCACAACATCTTTGTGTGATTTACCAGTTGTTACAAACATTGGGCTAAATCTAGCATTAGTATTGCAAAAAAACTAATACATCTGCTATCACAACTTTAATGGGACATCACAATGTCACATCCTCAGTAGATTTATTTCCTTTCTGTAGCATTGCTTTTCCTTTTTTAGAAAACAAAAATAAAAAAAATGACCCACCACTTGAAAACCACCCCAGCAGACACACAACGCCATAATATTATGTTAGCACGTGAAATGACGTTGATATTTAGTTGTTTTTAGGTTGTGCTTGAAAGTGTTCAAAATCCAACATCAAGCCAACATCTTAAACCAACTTATTGACGTTTACTCATCATGTACGGCAACCAAAACCCAAAGTCTGATAGACGTCACAAAGATAACGTCCACTACGTCAGTTGTGCATCCCTCTTGGTCATAATTGAGCAGCTACACCTTCGAAATGGGTAGATAAAAATACACAAGAATTGTTGAGAAAGTCTTATTTGTTTAATTTTAGCAAAAATAAAAGCAGTTTTTAATTTTGAGATTTCAAAATTTCAAACACACAACATCATAAGACGTTAATTTTAGGTAAGATTTAGTTTGTGACATCAGATGACCAAAATCCGATGACTAGGCAGCGTTAAATGACGTTGATATTTGGTTGAATTTGAAAGGTTGTGTTTGAAAGTGACCAAAATCCAACGTCAATCCAACATCTTAACTCAACATCAATCGTAAATACTGACATTTGTTCGATAGGTATGGCAACCAAAATTCAACGTCTGATAGACATCATAGTGGTAATGTCCACACAACGTCAAGCTGGAACATCATTAAATGTTATTATTTGATTGTTTTTAGGTTGCATTGGAAAGTAACCAAAATGCAAGGTCTGTATAACATTGCACATTGACGATGGCCTGACGTCAACCCGATTTTTTTCTTTCCAAACAAGATGCAACGTCCCACGATATTTGGGTACAACGTCAATCTGATGTCATGTTGACGTCCTGTGCCTGCCGGTACTGATCCTATCTCAATCTACATAAACAGTGAAGGTCAAATAGTGTGACATTTAAAAAAAAAGCTTATTTTGGAATCCGGATTCAACATAATCAAAAGCTCAAGCAATGTAAATGTTCAGATCAGACGATAAACTGCCCCAAATCCATTAACAGCTACAAGCATGATGGACAAACTTGTGTGAGAGAAGTAATCTAGTAAGCATAAGTGGGCTTAGTCCTCAGCATATGGCACATGTTGAAATCTGGGTCTGACCCACAAACCTCAAACACTCTTTATTTCTCATGTTTCAGCATCTTTTGGGGTGTTTTTTATTTAGAGTTGAACAGAACAGCAGTTCCATGCAAAAGGAGCAAAATGACCTATTTATGAAGAGGCATTCATTTCATATTCCTCCTCTGAGGCTCTGACGTAGAGGCTTCTTATTAAAGAGTGATTTGTTGCAATTACCATGTGACTAGAGGAAGAAATGCAGCAGATTCTAAATGATGCAACTGCCACCCTGCTTGTATGGTAAATGCAAAAGTCAGGTTAGGTTAATCGGGTCTAAATGGCATGTCTTTATTCGGGAGATCCGAGTGCCTAAATTAAAATGTAAGAAATGATAGGATTAATAAAATAAGATAAGCTTTTGGCTGCTGACAAATGCTGGCTTCTTTACAAAATATTAGTCATTAAAGGAGCTACTTGAAGTCATTTAATGTTGTGAAGTAAGCGTTGGCCTTGTCTGACAGGACTATAATGAGCTACGCACAACATTTTGTACTTCTAGACCAAGAACATGGTTTTCAAATGGAGGTAGTGTCGAAGCCAAAAAGTCAGAAGCCAAATTTGTCAGAGTTTGCTGGCAACAACATGTCAACAAAATCTACAAGAATAAGTCAGCAAGTTGCAAAGTATAAGGATGCACTACATTTTCAGATGCTAAATGGCTGTAAATATGAGCCAAAAAAAAGATTATGCTGTGACACACTGTCCAGTGCACTGGTTTAACTCTCCCTTCAGCTGTAGACACTGCGTACTAGACATAAGCTGCGATCACACTGCACTTTTCTCCCCATAGACTAGTGGTTCCCAACCTTTTTTTCCCTGAGACTCCCTTTTTCCCCTTGAAAATATTGTGAGGCCCCCCTCCACGCTTATTAATATTACTGCTCATAAAAGTTTGCAGTAGTGATGACAAAAAATGTGTTTCTGTGTTTCGTAGGTTGCTAGGCAACCATTAAACGTTTTCTCAGAGGATGACAAGCTGAAAAAACATTGCTGTCGCTCTGATACAAGTTTTTTTTGTTGAGAAAAGTACTATACAAGATACAAGATGTGCAGCACCTGAAACTACGAACACTGGAAGCCTGTGCTGGCATTTCTCCTGTAGTGTTGCTATCAGTGTGTGAAGAGTGGGAGAGGAGGGTTGCATTGACAATCCAACACAATTGGCAGCACATTGAACACATGTTATAAGTTGTCAGAAACTTGTAAATAACTCATGAAAGAATAAAGATACGTTAAAACCAAGCACACTGTTGTTTTTCTTGTGAAATTCCCAATAAGTTTGATGTGTCAAATGACCCTATTCCTAATGAAAAAACAAATGTTGGATCCAAGATTGTCGACTTTAAAATGGCCACCATGATCACCACCCATCTTGAAAAGCTTGCCCCCTCACATATACTAACGTGCCACAAACAGGACGCTAATATCACCAACAATTTCCATTTTATTGAGGTGTATGCATTTAAATGGCCCACCCTGTATATCTAGCTCAATCAATAGATTGCTAGAAGGCGTTAAGCAGACCCCTACTGAAAAATCTAGCTGGAGATGACCAGCTAAAACCAGCTTGACCAGCCTAGCAGGCTGAGAGCCCAGCCAAAACCAGCTATGTCCAGCTTAAACCAGGCTGGTCAAGCTGGTTTTAGCTGGATTTAGCTGGTCATTTTCCATTCTGACCAGCTAAGACCAGGCTGGAAATTGCTGGAAACCAGCCTGGAAGTGGCCAAAACCCCTCTAAAACCAGCCTGATTGACCAGCTAAAACCAGCCAACCAGCCTAGGCTGGTTTAAGCTGGATTTTTTAGCAGGGACAGCACAAACATAACCTAATGACTGCTAGTTTACAAGTTTTTTTTTCCTATTTTAATAGTTTCCTTTAACTAGTTCTGGACCCACGATTGCTGCCAAAATTGACAGCATAGCCCATTTTAATAAACAGAACGCTTCTCAAACATTGGCTTTGAGCTTGTCTTGGTGTTTTATTACAGTATCTGCATTTTTGTTTTAAATTTTTACAGCCAAGCCTTGTCCTTGCTCTCTCAACATGAGATCCCAACAAATAGTTTCATACCATCACATACCCCAAACCACAAGAGACCCCACAGGTGTAAGCAAGCATTCTTACAGGATAACAATCGTAAAAGCGGCTTCCCTACCTGTAGTTCCCCAGGTGCCGCTTTTCGTGCTCGTCCCTGGAGACTTGCTTGCGGACTTGAGCCAGTCTTTCTTTCTGAAAGCACAACATAAGTGAGTAGGCAGTGAGAAGTGGGAAGAATGACAGAGAAATGAATCCCCGTTTCAGCTAGTGCTATCCTGCAGTGTAATTTAGCCACCCAAAACCGGATAACAATGTCACAGAATGACTCGTTTGCTATATTACAAGGCCCCTTAATGAAGTCTGAGAGTTAGCGAGCACGTATAACAGCCTCTACTCTACACTTGTTAATACAGGGGGCCTATTCATAATTCATATGGATTTAACTCCCACTGTACCATTTTAATACATCAAAAAATATAATTGTGGAAAGGTCAGCTGGTCAATTTGCTGTGGCGCAGCAGGGTGTCTTTTATAATAGTCACTGATCTCTGCTAAATGCTGGTACAGGCAAGTTCGTTCAGCCCCCAATCCCCAAATCTCACTCCTCTTTTGCGTCTAGCTTTGCCCTTTGAAAATACCACCTACCTGCAGTCATCTCAACCTCATTCATCTCTTCAGATAATAAAAAGTTGATCGGAAGGAAGACCAATTCAAGGGCTGGTGCGCAACTTTTGAGAACACTCTTTGTCTTTATGCTGGCTAACTGAAATATGATAAACTAAATGTTTAATGCTCTGTTGGTTTGGCCATCGTTATTATATAAAAAAATTAACAAAACAGGCGAGATATGAACATATGGGGAAAAAAAATCTCAAGCCTGAATCTCTAGTCCATGGCTACATGATTAAAAAGATATTTTGCTTCATAACTTAAAGGAAACCGATTACGCTGCTTAGAAATGCACTGATCCCAATACTTAGATCGGATATCGGTTCGATGCCACATATTTTGCGTGCACGATATATTTAGTGTAATTTATAAACCAACAACAGTTTGTGTTTTGGTACTGAAGCACATAAACGAACCTTGTTTTGAACTTCACCTCAAATCTTCTTGTTTATTTTGTAGATAACCGACCAACTAAAATTCTAATAATAATAGGAAATGTACAAAAAATAAAAATATGATCACATCTGTGATACTTATCACTATCACGATCACGACTGTATTGATCGATACTCATAATTTTGGCATTGTGATTGGATCAGGTAAAAAAAAAAATATATATATATATATATATATATTGGTGGATCCCTAATTACCATATTAAAAAGTTTGAAAAAAACAGGCAGAATTAGAACATGCATCTTCCACAAGGGAAAAAAAAATCTCAAGCCTGTATCTCTAGCCCATGGTATTTATATTTTGCTTCATCACTTAAAGGACATCTAGTATGCATCTTTTTACAGAATGTCAAATAAATCTCCAATGTTCCAAGAGTGTGTATGTGAAGTGACATGTCGAAACATCCCACAAATAATGTTTTATAACTCTTTGAAACGGTCACTTGTAGGCTTTAATCCAAATTGTGTCATTTTGGTGACTTAAATTGGCTTTAGATTCAAATGAGATTGTCCTGATTGTGTGATTTCAAAAGAGGGCGGAGCTACAAATGCCTACGTGTCAGCATAGTGGCAGATTCAAAAATAAGAATAACAACCTATGCTAATTAGGGACAGATTTGCATTAATGAGCGGGACTTTCCCCCTTCTGTAGACAAGTACAAAGGGAGCATGTCAACAAAAGTGTTTCTGTAGACTGAAGTGTATTTATGCAGTGTGATTATATAAAACAAAATACAAAAATTATATTTACATGATTCTGCCACACAACTGTCTTTAAACTCCTTATAAAAGCAATTTTAGCATGATAGACCCCCTTTAAACATGAAAGCTTTTCTGAAAGCTAAATGTGACGCACCAGTTCCTCCCTTCTGCGTTCTAGCAAGTGGCGTTGTTTCTCCCATTCTGAAGACCCGGCAGTCAGTTTCCGCATGGATCCCTGTCCGTACAGTCGGCGCTGGGCTTCTGCCTTCTGCTGAGCCAGATTCCGCCGTTTATCACTCGCTCTTGGTAAGAAAAAATGAAAACAAAATAAAAAGTAGCACACAAAGTAGCACAAACTCACAGAAATTCTGGAAAAACTCTGCAACTCTATACATCACTTGACTTGACAGCATTCACCATGATTTCATCGCTCACTGGCCCTTTAAATTTGCTGTTGTAAGTGGCCACTCAGGGTCAGTGGACTCCTGAACCGCTGGGAACCCTCCAGTTTTTATTGATACGACTTTCGCACTTCTGAGTTCTTGTCACTGAGTTATTGGTTTTGTCCTGCGACTGCTGGGGAAATAACGTGGGAGTCGCTTGATATGTTACTGGTAAGAACTCAGCTGGGACGCGGTGAGCATCTGCGGAGACCTTCAAGAAAATAACTACGGCAGAACGGAAGCAATGCACCCAGAAACCTGATCCACTGCAAGATTGAGTTTGTCTGCTGTTGTTTTCTACTCTAGGACCATTGCTGGGCCACTCTGGTATATTTAGTACAAAAGTTGGAACTGGGATTTGAAGGCCAGGTCTACAGTAATCAATCACTGGATACCCTGTATACTGATGCACAACTGCACACACAGGTATACGCAGGCAGTACGGCAAGTAGATAACCACAGCAAAGAAACAAATAAACTTAAAAGGAATACCTCATGTTAAATACAATACAATCATATTCATTGAAGAAAAAACTGATTCACCGCACTGTTTGACAAAAAAAAGTATCATCTTAAAAGTCAACAGGAGTCTATGGTGTGTTCATACAGTAGTAATTGACATTAAAGTAAAAAAATTACCAACTTAAAGTAACCAAAAGAATTTGCTCATCTTTTAAAGCCATCAATTTCAACTAATTGCATTCATTAAAATTCAGTTTACCTGGTAATTCATGTGACATATCTGCTAATGACACCAAAATGGAAGCTACATCCAATGCTATGCTGTACATCTTTGATGCTTACTAATTAAAGTCTTAGCCAGAACTTCATTAAGGCACTGCTTAATGGATGACATCTTTAGGCAAATTGTTTGTCGTTGAACATAGAAGAAGAAATTCTGACCAATGAGTTGTACAGTATTTCTTTTTTCTACTATGGAAGGCAATAGCTACAGGTTTTCAGCTTTCTTTAAATGATCTTTTTCAAGAGTTCACACTTAGCTGATGATTGATTATAAAGCTTGTTTAAAACATGCTGCCCCAGGAGAGAACCCTGAGCTCATAAGATCCTCGAGCCAGGAGCTCCCTCACGTTTGCAGAGGAGAGGGGAGTTTGAGCTCAGATAGATCTCGAGAACTCCCCTGCTGTAGTAGCTAATGAACAGATTAGTCTTAAGAGAAGACTATTTACTAGGAGCATGTCTATGATGCTAATTTGGAGTAGTCAATTAACTTAGGTTGCATGTTTTTTGACGGTGGGAGGAAACCGGAGAACCCGGGGGAAACCCACAGAGCACGGGGAGAACGTGTAAACTCCGCAGAGAAAGGTTGGCTGGCTTGGTAAGGACTAGAACCAGTACATTCTTGCTGTGAGGCAACAGTGCTAACTACTGGGCCACCGTGCCACCCATCTAGGAAAGAAGGATGAGTAGGGGTTTAAAGGGAGATTCTTCAAAACGAAGATGGCTATCATATGGACCTTGGGGTACTTATAGTGGCTTAGGAATCGTCTGATTGTTGAATAATAAATTGAATAATGCGGGGCCGGCTGCAAGAAATCATAAGCACACGATCCTCTCAAAATTCGTTTATAAATAAGCTTCACTTAGTGTTCAGCAGAATAAAGAAACTCATAAAGATTTAGATCTACTAGAGGTATGAATAATTTAGAATTCTGTGATTTGTTCTGTATTTATGAGTAATATTTCATTTTAGGGTGAATTATTGCTTCAATTAACCCTTTCACGAGTACAATCACATTGGTGTGATCAGAATGTTCAGAGCGCATTATCACCTGCTAAAATACAAATCTGCACGCTGAGGCACAGAAAGCGGTGCGCAGTGCCTGTAATAAATCACAATTTATCCTTTCTTTCAAAAGTATTTATTTATTTATTCAGTTGGAGTGTTTTTTTTTCTGTTGTGGTCGACGTGTGTTCAACATGTAAAGAAATAAAAAACATAAATAGCTCTGATTTTGCATGCAATTGCCACACAATATCAAGTCCACAATGCTTTTGATGTGTTCCTTCAAATCAAACAGTCTTAAAAACAATTAAATGAGGGCCCATCGAAAAATTCCAAGCAACTTCTTAGAGATCACCAAATCAATATTGTTCTAAAACACTGAAGACTTATGAATGGTGGACAATGAAGAGTGAGTTTTCTGATTTACTCTTATTCTCTTTCTAATGGGACTCTGGAGAGAGCATTGCTTCATACCTGATGTTGAGCAGTTTCAGGGCATTAAGTAAAGCCCCCTTCTTCACGTCGTAATCAATCTTTTGATCTGTCCCAAAACTCGGTGCACGATTGATCTGCAGAGGAAAGACAGAGTAATATTGCTTTTTTCTTCTTCCAAAAACCAAAAACTCCATCAATATACAGTACAGTACAACGTTTAAAGGACATTGACAAGTCACAGTAGCAATAACCACTGTTATACTAAAATAACAAGGCTCTCATAACAATTAGTGTTGCAAGACATGTTTGTTGCTAATGTTGAGGATTATATAGCTTGGCTCATAATATATTACAAGACTTCAGAATTAAGCTATACAGCAGCTTTGCGTGGGGAAAAAAAACAGAAATGTACATCATCATTCACTTATACTCTTCCCTTCCAACAAGACTAGCACAATGAGTCAATTACTGCATTTTCAAATAATGCCGAATCGTCCTTGTGGCTTAACCCTTATGGCTGCTGGGGATGTTTTTATCCACTCTGGGGTGATTTTTTGTGTCTTAATTTGGCCATAACTTTTTCTGTGTTTCAGCTAGCAAAATTATTTTTGGTAACAAATCTTATTTAACACATATTTTGAGGAAAAAAAACTCAACGATACACTCCACGCAAATGTACTAAACTTTTGTTGTGGAAAAAACACACAAAATGAAGTATTTTCAATTTATAAAGTAATTGTGGACTGGATTTTTTTCTATCTTTTATCAAAGTCTTGGACATGTGAAACATCAGTGCTTTTGATGCATTGTTTTTGATTAATTTTCTTTTTGTTCCTCCTTATTTACTGGTGGCTGTTTCCTACAGCTATGTATACACCTATTCATTGTACATATCGCTGTCAATTTTAAATTGTCCCGTTTTGTTTGGGAGTATGCTGTTGTATTTGCACTGTCTGTATTTTACACTGTCGTTGTATTTGCACTGTATTTTGTATTGTCTGGAGCCAGCACCTAAGCTTTTCACTCATCATAGCACACATGCTCCTGATGATGGGACAATAAAAGTGGTTTGATTTGATTTTGTTTTTGCCTCACTGACTTCCATTATAATCACATTTTTTTATACAAAACCATGACACCATATAATCATGCATTTTTGATTGTTGGTGGTTTTCCATGTTGGAAAGAGGTACAATTTTTACTGTTGATCATTAGTTGGCAGCATTAACTCTTTAGATAGGCCTACACAATAATAATAATAATAATAATAATAGTTTCTGGATTTCATATGGAGTATAACAGCAAATTAAATTGTGTGTATGTGTGTCTGAGTTTGTAAAAATCTAAATATGCACCTCAGCTCCCAGAACTACATGTAGTAAATAAAAACAATGACAATAACTAAACTGCATATGTCAGATTCACCAAAGTACCACTTTGAACCAGTTCAAAAATACACAGATAAGATCAGAAATATATCTAAAAGAAATATATAGTGTAATGCATCGCTTCCTCTAACCCAAAGTTAGACTGTGCCAATATTCTTGTGAAGAGTACGATGTTGGATTTACATCATTTAATCATTTACTTTACATTATGCATTTCATACTACATCAGTAATAGAAACATATTTTTCCAACAAATTCCCATTAAACAATTCACTTAAAAATCCTTTCATTTTTATAAAGTTACTGAATAATTTCAGAAAGGCAACCAGCACATATCAAGTCAGCACCTTTAAGTCCCTATGAAATCAAAATAAAGTTTTTTAGACGTCAGTATAAGTATGGTATTCATAGGGATATTCATAAGCTAGTGTGCTGCTCCAAAAGAAGATTAGAAGATAAATATACAGTTGAAGTCACAATTATTAGCCCTCCTTTGATTTTATTTATTTTTTTAATATTTACCAAATGAAAAAGAGAGGAAATTTCACAGTATGTCTGATAATATTTTTTTCTTCTGGAGAAAGTCTTATTGGTTTTATTTCGGCCAGAAATAAAGCAGTTTTTAATTTTTTAGACACCATTTTAGGAACAAAATTATTAGCCCCTTTAGGCAATTTTTTTTCCGATAGTCTACAGAACAAACCATCAACTAACTAGGTTAATTAGGTTAACTAGACAGGATAGGGTAATTAGGCAAGTTATTGTATAACGATAGTTTGTTCTGTAGACTACTGAAAAAAATAAATAGCTTAAAGGGGGTAATATTTGTGACCTTAAAATGAGTAAAAAAAATTAATAAATTTAAAACTGCTTTTATTCTAGCCAAAATAAAAATAAAAAATTTGACTTTCTCCAGAAGAAAAATATTATCATATATACTTTAAAAAACGTCCTTGCTCTGTTAAACATCATTTGGGTAATATTTTAAAAAGAAAAAAATGCAAAGGAGGCTAATATTTCAACTGTATCATATTTTCTGTTATGAACTAACAATAAAATAAAAATAAAATAAAATAAAAAAATAAAAAATAAAATAAAATAAACACCATACAATAGGTAAAAGTGTATTTTAAATAACTGAGACAGACATCACATTTTTTCAGTATACCTACACATAACTTCAGTCAACCTGAGTGGCTAGGAACACACCAGTAAGGAACAGACCAAAAAAAAGTTTCAAAGTTTCATTGTCTACACAATCACGGCATGATAAACAGCAATCATAAGAATCTTCCCCGGAAGAAAGGAAGGAACAATATGAGGGTGAGTAATGATGACCTCTATGGAGTGGAGCTCTGCATGTAGGTCAAGAAACACTCTGCAAACAAGTGCAACTTTGATCTTGTTTGCAGCGGAGCTTTCAAAGCACAGCCAGACATTACTAGACAATTCACATGACATATCATTGCATAGGTGATGCCATTATATAAAATAAAAAATAAAAAACTGCACGTCTAGATTCACAATAGAGTGATGCAATGTAGAAAAAATATGGGACATCTTACCAAAAAATTTACATTTTCACTTATATAAAAAAAAAAGTGACAGGGCCTGACCTTTGAGCTCGTCATCCTCAAAAAGACACACAAAAACAAGCATAAAATCCGACTAAATTGATAAAATCAATTCTATGATGGAATGTATAATTGATCACTGTCAGCTTCTCCTTCCATCAAATGATATCACTTGATGTCACTTCCTGAGTAGCCTAAAATTCAATGCAAATGTGAGAGGACTGACTAAAACATGGGGACAATTGTAAAACAGTTTTTATTTGTAATGAATTTATTCATAATTTCATGTTTTTAATCAATTAATGATAACTTTTCCTAGAGATGGGTTGCGGCTGGAAGGGCATCAGCTGTGTAAAGCTTTCTGGATAAGTTGGCGGTTCATTCCGCTGTGGCGACCTTGGATTAATAAAGGGACTAAGCCGACAAGAAAATGAATGAATGAATGAATGAATGAATGAATGAATGAATGAATGAATGAATGAAAACTTAAACTTGCTATTTCTGAAGTTTTTTTTTTTTTTAATAAAGAATAGTTTACAATTTAAGTTTTTATCATAACAAAACTATTGAAGCTGTAGGTTCAATTGACGCTTCGCTAAACTCCTCCCTCCTTATGCCTAGTTCACACTAGAGGATTTTAAGCCTGATTTGAGCCCGATTTGGAAGCTAACGAGCTCGCCGACAGATCGGGCTGTGATCGGGAAGAAATCTGTGGGTGCTCGGCGCTCGCCGCTCTTTATGTGTGAACTACTGAGCAACGCATCAACGAGGCTCGCTGACGCGTCGCCGACACCTCGCAGACGGAAATCCAACATTCAGCATGCTAAATATTCCAGAGCAGTCGGCCGACTCAACCCCACGTGTGGTCAGATGTAGTGACGAGCTGCAGCCAATGAGAGAGCAGATCAGCATGAGCTGAATGCCTGTGTGTTCAGGAGCTCAACAGAAACATCTGTGATTGGTCAGAATGGGCATCGGTGCACTCGCTTCATTCTGCGTTAACACAGACATGAGAGTAGGCTATATTAACAGTGGATCTAGAATTCTGTAACTATTAGAATTACCATACTGCTCATTCGGTCAGACGGTTCTTATATAAAACGCCATATTGTCACAACATATTTACATTCAAAGCTATTATTGAGATATTAAAATTAAGCTTTGAATGTCTGGCATCATATTTAATGACATTACCCTAAAAATATAATATTTTTTGGTAATACAGCCTATAATTATGTAGTTAAGATACTAAAACACTTAAAGGTCTTGGCTTTCATTTTCACTTTCAAACAGGAGCTATTTAACAGTACAGAATATGCTGTTTTGAAAGATATCTGAAGTAAATTGATGTTTTTGCCATCAGAAAGTTTTGTTTATGTTAGCAGGAAGTTGCCAGGCAAGAAAATGCACACATATTTAAAGTCACAGTGAAAAGTATTAGACATGCATGCAGTCATTTTGACCAATATGGTAATTTAAGGCAGAAATGCTCAGTTCTTTACTGTTTTGTAATAAAAAAAATAACAATGTCAGAAAGAAATACACTGATAGTTAGAAAACGGCAAGGTGTTATAAATAGGTTAGTTTTATTTCAAAGAGTTATAAAATTACAAAAATTAAAAACTCTCTGTGTATCTATCCACTCAAACCTTGAAGATGAGTGATTAATCCGCTCATAAATCCGCTGATTTGACGATATTTTTAAATGCTTTCTCCAAAGCTTGAAACGCTGTCAGTGATGTCATCAGCACACAAGCAGCCAATAGTGTTCAGCTTTTTTCTGACGACTCCTCCCTCAAATTTTCATTGGCTGTGGTTTGGTAGCTTGAATGAGCTGATGGGGAATGAGATGTTGTCAGATCATGTAGTGTGTGACCCCCCTCTTGTGGATCGTTCACAGAGTGTTGCGTAGTGTGAACACCACAGAGAAAAAAAAAGACACAAAGTCAAGTCATGTAGTGTGAACAGCACAGCGATCTGCTGATGTTTAAAATCCTGTAGTGTGAACTAGGCTTTAGTTACTGCTGTTACGCCTGTCAAGCTTTGGTGCCTGGCATGTCTATTACAAAATGTATGCCCCAGTGTCAGACAATGCCTGGTATAGAATTACTCGTTTTTGGTGAACAGGTGAGATATCCGAGAAAGCCAGACAAAAAAAAACACTGTACTATA